TTTCATGTTTATATATATAGTTTAGCTAGTATGTTTATATTGTAATCAGTATTAAATAATAATAAAATAAAAGGCAGGATCCTCTTGTGGAGAAAAAAAAAATTACAAAATTTTGAAGATAATCTACTTATTGCTTCTCAAACAACTTGTTTTTCTTCTTAAGTAATTTTATCTGTATAGAAATATTTTATCTCTTTATTTGTAGATTTCAAAAATAATTTATCTATTTTGAGTTTTAATTATTTTTGCTTTGTATATAAGAAAAAATATAGGTCTAACTATAGATAAGTAAATAATCTTTCTCAGACAAACAAGTAGTTTTTCTCTTATAAATAAGTAGTCTGCAAAGTAGTTCATAAATTATTGCATCTTATACTAGTATATTATTTTTCAGACAAACAAGTAGTCTTTTTTTTATAAACAAGTAATTTACAAAGTAGTTTATAAATTATTACATACTCACACTAGCATACAGTATTCTCTAAACAAACAAGCAGTCTTTTTCCTATAAACGAGCAGTTCACAAAGTAGTCTGTGAATTACTACATACTATTATAATTTCTAAACAAACAGTTTTTTCTCTACAAATAAGCAGTTCGCAAAGTAGTTTGTGAATTATATATATCAAACAATACTTCATGCCTCACATTTCTACAACACTAAGATATATATTGTTGTGATAAATGAATAATACCTGAAATCTTTTAACTATCCTATTACTTTCTGTCTGACATCAGATATTTCATCATAATGCTTTTTTATAGCCTTCAGTTCATTTATTTACTAGTTATGCTCCGTCACCTCATCTTCCAAATCTTGTATGTAATTGGCAATTTAAGAAATTATTAAGTAAAGGCCTCCGATTGCTCCCAAAAGGCTACATGTTTTACAAACAATAGGTTACGCTATATTCGCTATATTGTCACAAGGAAACACTTATGGTTTGTCTTACCAAGGTATTTAAGATCTTCGAGACATTTAGATGACAAGTGCATTTATTACCCTTTTTTGAAAAAATTAACGTCTAGAAGTATCTAACAGTCACCCGATTTGTCACACAGATCACAAGGACTATGAAATTTGAGTAAAAAAAAAACAATTTTTTTTAGACTACTCACAGTATAAATAAAAGTGACAGAATCGAGAGTCACGTTTTTCATGGGTTAAAAATAGACCATTGATTGGCTCTCGACCCTTGAAAACCGTTTTCTTTTTTTTTTTTGGCATAATTTTCTGCTTCCTGGAGCTAGTTTTTAATAAGTAACTTTTTACTTTATTTAATTACGGGAATAATTTTTGACAATTCCGAATTATATCACTTTACAGTTGAGTGATAAAAAATCAGAATTTTTATTGGGATTTTACGAATACAAAAATTTAGATTGTCGTCTATTTCACTTTTTTATATCATAAGAAAAAACCAAATCGTAGCGAAAAAATGAAACATGAGTCTCAATAATAATAAAGTATAGATTTGTATACTTTAGTAAACCTCGAGCTTAATATTTGAGTTGATTCGTGTGTTAATGATATCCGTATCTTCATATACTGATATTCGTTGTTTGTCTTTCATTGCTTTCACCCAATCCTCTCTGAATCGTATACCGATAAATTGATACTTGTCATTAAGCTGTGATCACCTACTGAAATGAGTTAAAAAATATAATTCAAAATAAATTATCAAACAAATTTTTATAATTAATAATAATCCCGTTTAAGTAATTACTCTTTATTATTACATTTTGTGCTATTCGTATGGTAAACACTACATAGCAAATTGGAACGTCTATAGTAAATTTGCTAAATAAGACATCTTTCGTTTTTATAATCGGATAACGCAGTTACAATTTTAAATTAACTAAAATAGTAAAGACTAAGTCTAGACTCTTATAAACAATTTATGTAGTCAAGAGCATGGACATGCGAATTTTGTGATTTGCTGTGATCGAAGTAAATCACAGTAAATCACAGAAAACATCGATTGCAAAATGTAGTATTAATAGCTATATCGATAATAATATGGTCAAATTTAATAAAATTATTGTAATATTTGTTTAGAGATGTAAAAATATAATAAAATCTTACATTTTAATAGCGTTAGTTCAAAAAAATTTTACATTTCTCGAAAAAAAAAAATTTAGTGCAACTCATTTTGCAAGTTTTTTTGCTTTTACGAGATAAAATTTTAGATATTATCGTTATGTTATTAAATCGGTACTTTAATTTTAATCATCAGTTAATCACAGTAAATCACATAATTTATTGTTATCAAAAACAGAATTGATCAAATTATATCACAGATTTCGCATGTCCCTGATGTAAATAAAAATTTTTTGAAACTACTTACTTTTATAAACACTAATTGTATAAATTTATTTTAATAAATATAGTAACAACAGTTAAGTTGGAACATTTAGAAATATATTTCTACACACAAAATTATTATTAGAATTATTAATTTACGAATCGAAACTAAAAAAAATAAGAAATTTTGGAATCAAGGGTAATTATTCAACATCATTTACATACAGCTTTTGCAAAATATTCTAAATTTTTAGAAGATAAACCTGCGCTAGAAATACGACCGTTATCAGTTATCGGTCAAGTACACATGAAATTTTTCCTTAAGAACTTTAACTTGTTCTTTTTTAAACTATAGGTGCTTTCACTGTATTATTAATCAGCAAACATATTATTAAATGTTATCACAGGTTTCGCAGGTTCCTACCTGGGTTGCTAAAGCTCAACAGGGTCACTAATTGGGGTCCTGAGTAGACTTGGAGTGGATACTACCGTAAATGTGCGTATACAAGACCCGGGTCCACCAAAAAAGTTAATTAGTAAAAAAAAGAAAATAATTAGTAAACAGTGAAGGTGGATATGATATCTGATATATATGGGGGTCTTTTATATACGCATATTTAAATCTTTGTTCTAACAATTTTTCAGTTTTTTTCTAAAAAGCGAAACCCCAAACATTACCAAAATCCTGTCAGAAAGTTATGAAAAAGGCAACGATAATTCAACAATATTTTCTCTGTAGCGAAGGAGAATTCTGTTCTTAAAATAAGAACTATGTAGACATAAATAGGTTTATTATCGTTAGGGAGGTGTCATATATCAGCTGATATCGTAGGGGGGAGAGTGGTAGACAAAATCTCAGGTTTAAATATATGCATATAGCCAATCAGAAAGGCCAACTATCTCAGGAAGGGGGGAGGGGAGTGGGCTCTATAGTAAATTCATCTCAGCTAATATCTGACAGGGCCCTTAGGGTACGTAATATTTTTTAGGGCTACCCCCACGTAAGACGATTTCTCTGACCCTCAGGATATTACGTACGGTCATTGAAAATCTATTTATTTATTTATCATAACAATCAGAAGTCACACAATTAAAAATTATATCGTACTTGCGGAATCGTGTTTAAAGAAACATCGGCAAATCCCGTTACACAAGAACGTACAATAATTTATACGTAGATCGCGTCTTTAAATGCGATTACATAATACTGTAAGTCTTGTGAAATCTAAATAAAGTCCTCTAAAAAATTTTGTGCCGACTATAAGCAGTATGAAATAGTTCAGGGCTAAATTGGAAATGCCAACTTCGGTAAAATGAGTGCCGCCCAAACATGGAAATTTATTAATTTGGCAATATCAATGTGCGATATTTTAAATTAGGTAGGACTGGTGTGAATATATGTATCCCCGTTTATTTTTTAAAAATCAACGTTAATGTTAATTGAGATTAGAATTAGAGTCAAGGCCCGTGTTAGAGTAAGGGTAAGCTTTAAGGAATATATATCAAAATTTTGCAAAGAACTTCTTTTGTTATAACGCAGAAGGTAGTTTCATAGAAGAGAAAGACGTTTTTTTAAAAATTTTAATTAGAGTTACACACCGATCGTTCGTGTAAGATCTACATTGGACATCGGATTTTCAACCGCTTTGGGGTAGTACTACGCCCACAACAGACCTGTTATATAAGATGCTATCGGCCCACGTTTTGAAACAAATTTTAAAATGAATCAAGTAAAAATAGCGAAAGAAATTTTGCGTAATGAAATGTATAGATATCTCAAACAAATCTCCCTCAAGCAAATTGAGAAAGAAAGTAGGTTTATGGTATTTTAACGAAACCAATTTATATTATAAAAGTGTCATGAACAAATAGCCGCATTTTTTCTACAGGCTTTATTGTAGTAGATAAGGTACTAAAATCCAAAGAATACCTGTCAAGCACACACATAAGCATATACATTAGTAAGCCAAGTGCAGAAATTTTAACTGAATCTATAATCTATGATATATTTCATAAAGGTATTATACATTAACATTTAATCTAATATTTATTCCTTCCTATAATGAATTAACGAATTAATTGTTAGGGAAAATATGCTATGTTCCAATTTCGGATGGGGATAGTGTGGAAATGGTCAAACTTAGGTCTTTGCAAGATTATTTATCATTTAAATCAAATAAATTGCATAACTTAGAAACCGATAATCGAAGGCGAGATATAGGTACCATAATTATTAAAAACTTAGGTTTATATAATGAGTGTCGCCAAATGAAAAATATGGAATTTTTAATTTTTAGCTTTCACTTGACAAAACGCGAACTAATCTCACATGCACAGCCGCCTTTACGATATCATTTCGCACATTTGATTATTTGAAATCAATCATAAATTACCAGCATGTTTAACTATCATGATAAATCGTATCCCGTAAAGTAAAAATTCTATATTGTCATTTGGCGAAACAATTTAAAATACTGCGAATCAGCTTAATTCTTAATTTAATTATATTTATTATTACAGCAACTGAACTGGATTTGATTATAATGACTGGTAACCAATAACTTTATTTTTTGTGCAGATCGTGAAATTTTTAAAATCTAGAATTAAAAAATTGACGCATACAGAGATTTTCCGGGTATGTGACTAAATACAAAACAAAAAAGTCATTAAATTTTGGGAAATTAGAAAAAATTTTTATGGCTATTTTTCAGCGATTGTCACGTGCCTGGAAAATGTCTTCTACATTCAAATTTTCGGTCCAAATTTCACGATAATCTACGATATTTTTTAAAGAAATATAAATACTGATTAAAAATGCTATTAAATTAATAGAGTTGGCATTTGATCATGAAGGAAATAAACTTGACCACCGCAATGGGTAAGAATTTTACGGATTGATTTTCGGTGTTGTAGATTATATTAATAATATTATCATTAATTTAGTGTTAGCTATTACGACAAATATTGGAAAAAGTGCCAAACATGGGCAAAACCACCAATAACTAGTAAGTTTTTATATATTTTTAAGTTCTTAATATTTTATAATACTTACATATTGTCATATTTAGTGGCTCTTGCTTTAGATGGTCAAATATTAAAAGATGATAATGTTCCAGTAACTGATAATGATCGAAACCCTGATTTAATCTTGTCACCATATCAGGACATTAGGATTAGGATTTAATTTATATTTAATACCGTTTTTATATTGTAATCATGTAATTATTTATATTGAAAATAATAGTTAACGATATATTAAATATACTGTAAATTACATTGCCACAAAAAAAAATATATTTTTGTAATTCCTAATGACCAGCCCAGAATATCATATTGATATTGGAGGTATTTCATATCGCGTGGGAATTGTAATTTCCAGTAATTTTAAAGTTTTATACTTATGGAACCTATTGTTGGGGTGAAATTTGGTATCCCGAAGAAATCGATCTGGCGCAGAAGTGATCGGGATGATCACAATTTCATTTCTTGCATTTTATACATTTCTCGCATTTATTACATTTACTTCGCCCCGATCATCCTCAAACCGTTTTATCATTTTTTACATTTCTTACATTTTTCGCATTTATTTAAAATGTATTTAAAGAGGGCGAATTCGCCTAAGTGAATGAACAGAACCTCCGGGCTTTAATATAATAAATATCGTTATTACTATTACCTCTAAATAATTATCCCGTGACTTACCTATAACGTGACTGAATTGTTAAAGAACATCAAACGCATAATACCTTGTAATTTAAGAAGTATATTGAATTCCATTGTCCCTGATACCTTAAAGTCATCTCGCATAAGTAAAGTAAACCCCTTGATCTCGATAGTGATTCCATTGTAACTTCGCTTGTTAAGTACCGGTCACTTGTGATAGGTGATCATCTCAAGGAAGAGTCGTCAGGAAGAGATCCTCCCAGATTTAATAAGGTAGAAGTGAAGGAAGGGTCCACCTTAGCTAGAGCGGGTAGAAGTGATATTGCCTTCTATCTGTATTAAAGACCAGTTGTAATAATCTGATGCCAAAGGTTGCTTTGGCCTTTGTTTCTGTGTTAGTAGTGTTACAGGTAGTGTAATTTAGCTTTCTTAATATACTATCTATAACAGGAACACAGCTATCTAGAGACTTTAAGAAGCAGTGTTGAAGAAGAAGGTATAATTCTTATTTCATTAAAGAACTATACTCATCTCTAAAGAGGCAGTTTGTTTATGTTTATCAATAACAACATCAGCAAATTTATATAACCGAAATTTTTCGAAAGAATTTTCGGGTCGAAATCTTTCGAAAGATTTACGATCGACGCGAAAATTTTCGAAATAATTAATTTCGAAAATTTCCGAAAAATATTCCGAAGATCTGCAAAAAATCTTTCGAAATATTACGCAAAAAAATTCGAAATCTTTCGCAAATATCCGAAATAATGTGAAAAAAATAAATTTTTATTTTTTAAAAAATCGTCATCGTTGCATAACGATGACGATTTTTTTTTTAAAAAAAAAAAACTTTAAAAAATAATACTTTATATAATACTGTAAAAACTTTATTTATTAAAAAAAAAACAACGTCGTTACATAACGAACGTTTTCTACATGATAAACTAATACTAAACTACAAAAAAAAAAAACTAAGAAACGATGAAATCTCCAAGAAAGCCGAAGTACCAACAAACAACGAAATCTCTAAGAAACAACGAATATCGAAGCTTCAAGGAACGCAGAAGCACCAACAAACGTCGAAAGCTCCAAGAAACGACGAAGCACCAACAAATGTCGAAAGCTCCAAGAAATGTCGAAAGCTCCAAGAAACATCGAAAGCTCCAAGAAACAACAAAGCACCAACAAACGTTGAAAGCTCCAAGAAACACCGAAGCACCAACAAATGTTGAAATCTCCAAGAAACGACGAAGCACCAACAAACGTCAAAAGCTCCAAGAAATGTCGAAAGCTCCAAGAAATGACGAAGCACCAACAAACGTCGAAATCTCCAAAAAACACCGAAGCACCAACAAACGATGAAAGCTCCAAGAAACACCGAAGCACCAATGAAACCCACCGAAGAAAGACGAAGAAACCCACTGAAGAAATGCCTAAAAAAAAGAAATGTTAGTATGAAAAAAATCTCAAAGAAACAATGACAATGAAACCCACCGAAGAATGTTAAGTGAACGGTCTAAAAAAAAGAAACGTTAATACAAAGAAAAACCTGACAAAGAAACCTACCGAAGAACTACAAAAAACCCACCAAAGAACTACAAAAAAACCCACCAAAGAAAGACGAAAAGTAAATGACTGAGTGAAACGCCTAAAAAAAAAGAAAGGTTAGTATTAAAAAAAATCCACCAAAGAACTACGAAGAACGACAATTAATGATTGCACAAGCAAAATCGAAACACCAACGAACGACGCACCAATAAACGACGAAACCAACAAACGACGACACCAGCAAACGAAGAACCGGAGAAAGACAACGATATATGTATAAAAAAAAT